CTGGCCAGTGTGGGAGTAGAGTGAAGCCATGCACGCCAGGTGACTCTGGGTGGACACCTTCCAAGGCCCACGGTGCATGAGGCGGCCAGGTTGTTTACAGGACTCCTAGCCAGCAGCCTTGACGCTTACCTCCCTGCACGTGGCTGTCCCCATCCAACCTCCTACTTTGTGAGCAGACACATCTCAGGGACTCTTGGCTGTGGCCTTCTCACTCTTCAGCTAGAGGAATCTCTCTGGCTTTCCATAGGCTCAGGACATGCGCTCGGGGGAAGCAATACAGACGTGAGAGGAAGTCGACACTGGAACAGAAAGTCTGGGTCCAAACAGTTTCCTTCAACTATCGAGGGAGGCTTGGTCAAGTTACTATCATTTTATTAGACTTTTAAATTTGTGTGAATGAGAGGATAAGGAAGAGAGAGCGAGTGCTATCTTCCATCTAGTTGTTCACTCCTCAAACACTTGCAACAGCTGGGCTGTGCCAAGCTGAATCGAGGATTCGTGAACAGGATCCAGGGCTCCAGTGTGTGTGGCAGGGATCCAACCACTTCAGCTGTCACTTGCTGCCTCCCAGAGTGTACATCAGCGGAAAGCTGGAGTCAGAAGCTGAATGTAAGCCCTCCGATAAAAGTCACAAAGATAGGCACTGTGGCTCAGGGGTTACGCGGCCACTGGGGACACTCACAACCCCATCAGAGGGCCAGTTTCAGTCCCAGATCCTCCACTTTTTATCTAGCTTCCTGCTAACGCTCTTAGGAGGCAGTAAATGATGGTTGGGTCACTGTTACCAAGATGGAAGACATAGATGGAGTTCCTGGATCCTGGCTTTAGCCTGGACCAGCCCTGGTTATTGTAGGCATTTAAGGTCACTACCAAATGGATGGACGGCCATCTTCCAGTGTTTCCCCAGATGCATCAGCAGGGAGCTGGATCAGAAGCAGAGCAGCTGGAACTTGAACCAAATATGCCACAACTCCTGTTGCCACTGCATCTTCCTTAAGGAAAAGATCCAGCGTTTGCACATTTGCAGCAATGTCTTTTTTTTTTTTTTTTTTTTTTTTTTTTTGACAGGCAGAGTTAGACAGTGAGAGAGAGAGACAGAAAGGTCTTTCTTTGCCATTGGTTCACCCTCCAATGGCCGCCATGGCCGCCGCACCGCGCTGATCCGATGGCAGGAGCCAGGTGCTTCTCCTGGTCTCCCATGGGGTGCAGGGCCCAAGCACTTGGGCCATCCTCCACTGCACTCCCTGGCCACAGCAGAGAGCTGGCCTGGAAGAGGGGCAACCGGGACAGAATCCGGCGCCCCAACTGGGACTAGAACCCGGTGTGCCGGCGCCGCTAGGTGGAGGATTAGCCTAGTGAGCCGCGGCGCCGGCCTATCGCAGCAATGTCTTAACCCCTACGCCATTGGCCACCTCCAGTTACTTCCCTCTCACGCCAGTTTCCTCACCTGTAAACAGCACTCAACTTCACACCGCGTCGGGAGGGAAAAGGAAGTGGCCTGCGCTGGCAGTGGCTCCCCCAGCATGTTCTCCTGCCCTTGGTGGTCCAGCTCAACTCGCTTTCTGACACTGCTTTCATCAGTTTTCTCTCCCTGTGCTGTTTGTTCTGGACAATCACTCATTTCCCCGGTCTCCCTCCAGGTTCTACAAGGTCTCTGCCTAGGTTCGTTGGCCATTTCATTCTCTTCATCCAGAAAGATCCACTGACAGGCTCAGCTGGTCTGCCCCATGCCAGACACTGCCAGGACTGTGGTCCTCTTCCAGGCACTGCTCCTGTCCTCCACTGTCTCAAAATTGAGCACACACGCTTCCTCACTCAGGTACTCATTCAACAAATCCTGGGCCAACACTTACTGTGTGCAGAGCGCTGGGCTAGGTTGTCAGGACACAGTGGCGAGAAAGATGACCCTCACTTAGCCTGTGGCCCAGAGGGAGCATGGACAACACAAGATGGCTGGGGCCGGCGCTGTAGTGTGGCGGGTAAAGCTGCCGCCCGCAATGCCAGCATCCCACGTGGCTGCTCCACTTCCGATCCAGCTCTCTGCTATGGCCTGGGAAAGCACTTGGGCCCCTGCACCCATGTGGGAGACCCAAAAGCAGCTCCTGGCTCCTGGCTCCTGGCTTTGGATCAGCGCAACTCCGGCTGTTGCGGCCATCTGGGGAGTGAACCGGCAGATGGCAGACCTCTCTCTCTCTCTCTCTCTCTCTCTGTGTAACTCTGATTTTCAAATAAATAAACAAACCTTCAAAAAAAAAAAAAAAAAAAAGACAAACCCGAAAAGGCTAGCATGAGGGTGTCAGACAGAAGCCCTGGAGGAGGAGGAGGAGGGGGAGGGGGAGGGGGAGGAGGAGGAGTCGTCGTCGTCTCAAAGTCCCTCCCGTCACAGCACACACAGGTGACAGCTCTGGAGCTGCCCCAGGCTAGCACCGAGAGCACCAGGATGCTTAGAAGAAAAGGCTCCTCAGTCATTCAGTTCACAAGTGTTCACCAGGCGGCCGGCGCCGCGGCTCACCAGGCTAATCCTCCGCCTGCGGCGCCGGCACTCCGGGTTCTAGTCCTAGTTGGGGCGCCAGTTCTGCCCCGGCTGCTCCTCTTCCAGGCCAGCTCTCTGCTGCGGCCTGGGAAGGCAGTGGAGGATGGCCCAAGTGCTTGGGCCCTGCACCCGCATGGGAGACCAGGAGGAAGCACCTGGCTCCTGGCTTCAGATCAGCTTAGCGTGCTGGTTGTAGCGGCCATGTGGGGGCTGAACCACCGGAAGGAAGACCCCCCCACACACACTGTCTGCCTGTCAAAAAAAAAAAAAAAAAAAAGTGTTTACCAGGCATACACTGCCAGAGGCTAGGAATACAGCAGTGGACATGCACCTGCCCCCCCGGCTGATCAAACAAGCAATTACAGTCCTCTGATGGAGATAAACTCAGATGGCTACAGGACTGCCCAGCTTAGAGAAGTCAGAGACTTCGGAGGTGGAGAACTATAATAGACCTCCCAGGAGGTGGAGGAAGTGGGATGGAGGAAAGGCGTTCCAGGGAGACAGGAGCCTAGCACCTAGCGGAGGGCCCGGCCGTGAGGGGCCCAGGACACATGCTCTTCTGCTGTCTTCGTAATCCCATAATCCCACAGTCCGGGCCATCTGCTCTCACACTTGGGGGTTTTGCTCACAGTCCCCTTCCGGGCTGGCCATCTCTCGTGGGATGAGTCACTTTGAAGGTCACTTCCTTTGTAAGAGGCTTCCCCGGGGGGGAAACTGAGTCATTCCCTATGCTGCCTCCTGCGCTGCTGACTCACTGGTGAGCGAAAGCGTTCTTGCAGACATGTGAGCTAATCTCAGTAGAAGACAGCAATGTTCAAACGAGTTTTTCATTCACTTGACAAGCTGAACGAAAAAGAAAACAAGCAAATACCAGATATTTTTGTCGTCCACCCGCTGTCAAAGTTAGTGGCAAGGTTGTACGGATTTGTACTGTTCAACAAATGTTCATTTAAATCATTAAATCATCACTCCTCATGCTAGGCTCTGGACAGGGACTCGGATTCTGACTTTTCCAACCACTAACAGGCATTCATGCGCTTGCTGGCTATGACACAACGGCCAGAGGGTGTAACTGGAACAGTATGTTTGCAACAGTGTTTCCACCAATCTCCAGAGCCTCTCCCTGGTAACAGTCCAAACCTCTTTATTTGGGTCCAAGTCCTCCATCTTGCGTGAGTGTCGTGGGTAAACGACTCCTTTCCCCCGCTGCAGGCTCAGTCTACGGAAGAGGGTGCCATGCCACCTGTGCCACCTGCCCAGTCCCAACGCCCCACCTGTTCTACCGCTCTCACCTTTGAACCTGGTCTGAACCCTGCCTAACCTATTGACCTTACAGAACTGGCTATGAACTTGGCCCTTCCGGTAATAATTCTGGGAGCCTCGACCTTGGGACCCTGCTGTAACATCTCTGCGGGCAGCCTGAGCCCCAGGCACCTACCAGCGTCAGAAAAATGCAGATTTAAGCAATGGAGAAACCAATTTGATTGAATTTCTGCTTCCTTTCCTACAACCTCCATTCCACCACAATCAAGCAAAGAGGAATTTCTTGCTGAATCTGTAAACTGAAGACCTGAGAGATGACTTTATCCATCAGAGATGTTTAAATCGGGTTATCTAAACCTAAATATAAATTATCGTGATCGTTAAAGGGCCTTTCTCTCGAGTTTATTTTCCCGATCTTTACACTGTAGTACTGAAACGCCGTTAGGATTTTAGGAGGGTGCCTCCCAGCCAAGCAGTTCGCTCAACAGCATTCTTTTTACTTCCTTCTGCAGGCAGCACTGTTGAAGGTTAGCCTCTGGTCATCTCGCACCTCCAGCTTTTTACAAAAGGTCTGCTAACTGCTTCTGACCCTCAGATTTCTGGAATGGAGATTTCGGAACAGCCTTCTGCAGCCCACGGAGCTAAGCCCTGAGTCCAGGCCCGCCCAGCGAAGCCCCTGCAGGACCAGCCCCGGGCACCCCCGACCCTGCCCCTCGGAAGCGCCGCACCTGTGTGCGGGCCCGTCTTGGGGAAGGGGTGTGAGGGCAGCCAGCTCGGCACTGACGACCACCCGCGGAGGGAAGAGAACCGGGCCTCATCCGGCCCTGGGAGGACACGTTTCCCGGGCTCAGACCGGCCCCGGGACACAGCAGCCACGCTCCAGCAAAGCAGCTCGGACGGCCAAGGGCCCCCGCTCCCCGCCCCGCGGCCTCCGCCGTCACCGTGACGCACGGCTTTAACCCCCGGCTCTCCGGCTTCCGCCCCGTCCTCGCGCGGCCCCAGGGGGCGCTGCCCGCTGCCTGGACCCGGGCCCGGCGCCAGCAGGGACGAGCCGGGCGGGGCTGTCACTCACCGCCTCACTGGGCGGGACAGGAAAAAGCCGCGAGCCGACCCCGGAAGTGTGGTCCCCGCAGGCGCCGCCGGGCTACGCGATGCGCGCCCAATCACGTGACGCACTCCGGTCACGTGACGCCTCGCCGGCCCTCACGTGAGCGCCGCCGCCCACCTGACCTGGGCTCGCGCTAGTCGGCCCGCTGGGGCGGTCACCGGCGGGCCATGGCCGGCTCCGGGCTGTGGCTGTCGCTGCTGCTGGCGGCAGCGTTCGCTGGCCGGGCGGCGCCCGTGTGGCCCTGGCCCCAGTACATCCAGACGTCCGGCCGGCACTACACCCTGTACCCGAACAGCTTCCAGTTCCGCTACCATGTGAGCTCGGCCGTGCAGCCGGGCTGCGCCGTCCTCGACCAGGCCTTCCAGCGCTACCGGGAGCTGCTGTTCGGGGCCGGGTCCTGGCCGCGTCCCAGCCTCTCGGGTGAGTCCGTGCTCCGCCGCCTGGAAGTCCGCCCCCGAGAGAGCCCTGCCGCGCAGCAGCCCCCACCCGGGTCCCGCCAGTCCCCAGGTCGCTCTGCCTCCGCCGCCTCCCGCCCTTTCCTCCGGCTGTCGGCTCAGTCTCCTGCGCGTACCCCCTGCCTGAGCCCACCCTCTGTGGCCACTCTGGCCTGCAGTCTCTCCCTTGAGCTGTGTCAGGAGTTGGCCTGCTACAGGAAGAATGTCAGAATACTGCGCCCTGAGCAGACCCCTGAGACGTCTGGGTCCCCGTGAGAACGGGACCAGGGCTGGGTACGGAAGACCAGAGCAGACGGGACGCGAGAACCCACGCACGGCTCCGTAAACGTGTGGCACACGGCGCGTCCAGAGGTGTGGGGCTGGGATGGGGCTCAGAGTTCAGGCTGGTGTGTGCTCTCGGGTGCCCGCGGGGTGGAAATCGGTAGCGTGTACATCCCTGAGAGTTACCCCAAAGCAGACTGCCTCCCGCTGCTTCGCCCAACCCTTTTGTTCGACAATGGAAGACGGATTCTTCTGTCAGTGTCTAGAGCCTTCTGCGACCCTTTCCGGGATTGGATTTGCTCCACGCACAAGATTAAAGGTGGTTAAGTTAGTAAGTGACATGGTTCGTCATGCTTCGCTGTCCTGAAGACGCCTCCCCTGGCCATTGCTTCTTTTCGGTTTGGGTTTCTTTTCCTGTTTCCAATTTGGAGGATAAGCTCGGTCCCACGGGAGGGAAGACCTTGTGATCCCCAGGTAGGCAGGGCCCAAGTCATGCGGTCATTACTCATCAGGGCACGGGATTGTCCGCGGACTGTGAGGAGGCAATGTGGGATGGGCAGCTGGATGGGGAGAAGGGGCCTCTGCCCTTGGACTGGACCAGACCACCGCCCAGTCTACTTTAACCCTTCCCAGAGCAAGAGCAAGGCGTGGTCTGTGCGAGACAGGGTGGCTAGCAGGTTTCTTGTTTGAAAAGCAAAGAGGAAGAAAATTTGGGAAGAAGGTTATGTAGTTGCAGTTTTTCTTGTGAAGAGTGGAGAAATAGAGAGGAATACAGCGGGAGCAGCTGTCTCTGCAGAGGACGTGGGTGGTAGGAGCAGAGTTCTGGGCTGGGGGCAGAATAACTGGGTGTTTGATTTTGAATACCAGGGCCTGGGTTAGCTTAGCCATGTTGGCAACCAGCCTCTCTTCTTGTCGCCGTTTTGTTGTTTGCTTGTTTTGTTTTTTTCTTTATTATCTGTGGTGTCATGCTTTTCCAATAGCCCTGGGTGGCACTGAGCCCAGGAAGCCTACTTCTGTGGGTAGGAGTCTGGGTGTGGTCCCTGAAAATGCCAGACCTTCCCTCCCAGCTACCTTTGCTCTCTTGCCTTGAATGTTCTTGGAAGATAGTGTGCCCCGGATTCTGCAACATGGTTATTAACGAGTGAGCAGAGAGTGGAGACTGTTCATCCCTTGTTCATCTGTGTGCCCTCACGGCTTGCCGCCTCTTGCTTTTTAATCTGTGTGTATTTCAGGCATTCTTAGGATAAGGAGGAAGTGGCTGTGAATGTCTTTGTGATCTTCTTTAAGGAGAGTACAGCGAGAAAAGAGTAATGTGACTACAGAAAAGTGAAGTTAAGGGGCGGAGATGATGGCACAGCAGGGTAAGCTGCTGCCTGTTTCCTGCGTCCCATGTCAGAGTGCCTGGTTCAAGTCCTGGCTACTCTGTGCTTGCAGGCCAGCTCCCTGCTGATGTGCCCGGGAGGCGGTGGAGGATGGCCTCAGTACTGGGGCCTCTGCCACCCACGGGGATGATGCAGGTGGAGCTCCAGGCTCCTGGCTTTGGCCTGGCCCAGCCCTGGCTGTTGCAGACATCTGGAGAGTGAACCAGCAGATGGGAGATCTCTCTGTCACTCCGCCTTTTGGATAAATAAATAAGACTTAAAAAACACACACGCACATAAACTGTGGCTAGTATGTGTAAAGCAATGCTTAGTCAGTCATTGTTAAAAGAAATGCAAATTAAAACTTTTTTTTTTTTTTGGACAGGCAGAGTGGACAGTGAGAGAGAGACAGAGAGAAAGGTCTTCCTTTGCCGTTGGTTCACCCTCCAATGGCCACCGCGGCCGGCGCTCCGCGCTGATCCAAAGGCAGGAGCCAGGTGCTTCTCCTGGTCTCCCATGGGGTGCAGGGCCCAAGCACCTGGGCCATCCTCCACTGCACTCCCTGGCCACAGCAGAGAGCTGGCCTGGAAGAGGGGCAACCGGGACAGAATCCGGCACCCGACCAGGACTAGAACCCGGTGTGCCGGCGCCACAAGGCGGAGGATTAGCCTAGTGAGCCGCGGCGCTGGCCGCAAATTAAAACTTTATCTTTTGGCCGGCGCCGCGGCTCACTAGGTTAATCCTCCGCCTAGCGGCGCCAGCACACCGGGTTCTAGTCCCGGTCGGGGCGCCGGATTCTGTCCCGGTTGCCCCTCTTCCAGGCCAGCTCTCTGCTGTGGCCAGGGAGTGCAGTGGAGGATGGCCCGGGTGCTTGAGCCCTGCACCCCATGGGAGACCAGGAGAAGCACCTGGCTCCTGGCTCCTGCCATCGGATCAGCACGGTGCGCCGGCCACATCGCGCCAGCCGCGGCGGCCATTGGAGGGTGAACCAACGGCAAAGGAAGACCTTTCTCTCTGTCTCTCTCTCTCACTGTCCACTCTGCCTGTCAAAAAAAAAAAAAAAAAAAAAAAAAAAAAAAAACAACTTTATCTTTTAACATCAGTCTGGCAGAGATGAAAAAGATCTGAAAGGATGTAGCGTTGGAGCGGTGAATGTCCAAGGTTTGGGCATAAGCCAGTGCAGTGGGGTGGCTATTTGCATGGTGGGTAAGATGCCCCTTGGGACACCTGCATCCCTTATAGGGGTGCCTGGGTTTGGGTCCTGGTTCCACTCTCAGTTCCAGTAATGCACACCTGGAGAGCAGCAGGTGATGGCTGAAGTTCCTGCAACGCACATGGGAAACCTGGATTGGATTCCTGGCTCCTGGGCGTTTGGAAAATGCACCAATGAGTGGGAAAGTGCGAGTGCTCACCTGCGTGTGCTCTCTCTCTCCCCCCCTCTGTCTTGACCTCTCAAATATGTAAAACTTTTCAGTGTATTGAAATTTTTAAAGTAATGACGACCTAGTCGAGGGTGTTACGGTGCAGAGGTCTAGGCCGCCACTTTGGACTACTGATCCCATGTCAGAGTGCCCGTTCATGTCCCCAGACCACCTGTGACCCATTCCTGCTAGTGCACACCCTGGGAGGCAGCAGCCATGGCTCGAGTGCTGAGAGCCTGGCACCTGTGTCGTTACTCAGATGGAATTCCTGGCTCCTGGGCATTTGGAAAATGAACCAGTGAATGGGAAAGTGTGCGTTCTCTCTCTCTCTCTCTGTCTTTACCTCCCAAATAGATGCGATCTTTAAATGCATGTGTTTGTTTTATGCCTGCAGTAGCCGTGGTGTCACAGTGCAGAGGATTGGTCTGCCAGTGCATGTCCCAGGACCTGCACCTCTGATCCAGCTTCCTGCTCGTGCACACCTGGGAGGCAGAGGTGACGGCTCAAGTATTGGAAACCTGTCACCCATGGGGATTGTTCAGATGGAATTCCTGGCTCCTGCCTTCTAACTGTTGTGGGTATTTGGGAAGTGAAATGGCAGGTAGATGATCTCTGTATCTTGTGTTCTCTCTCTCCCTCTCCCTCTCTCCCTCTCCTTTTCCGTCTCCCTCTCTCCCTCTCTCCCTCCCTCCATCCCTCCATCCCTCCCTCTCTTTCCCTCTCTCTCTCTCTTCCTATCATTCTGCCTTTCAAATAAATAAAAATAAACAAGCTTTTTTTTTTTTTAAAAAAGGGCAGGATATCTAGTAAGCAAATTAAATCCATTTTTTTAATTGGCACAGAATTTGCAAGAGTAATCCGGCCGTGTCAAAGTCAAACATTTTCTTATCTTTGGCCTGGTATTTCTACCTCTAATAATTTATCTAAGCGATATCTTGCACAGATGCTTAAAATATGTGTCTATGCAAGAATATTTGTTTACTAGAACATTGTTTGTAATGCTTATAAAAATACATAGACATCTACAAACAGGAAAGAAGTTAGGTAAATTCCGATATAGCTCACCGATGGGATTCTGATCAACACTGAAAATGATGATGTGGCTCTCTGTAGATCCACATTAAAAGATCTGTAGATCATTTTGGTAAGTAGAGACAAGTACCAAACTAAAACGTATTAAGATCCCATACTGGGGCCGGTGCTTTGGAGTAGTGGGTAAAAGCTGGTGCCTGCAGTGCCGGCATCCCATATGGGTGCCGTTTCAAGTCCTGGCTGCTCCACTTCCAATCCAGCTCTCTGCTATGGCCTGGGAAAGCAGTAGAAGATGGCCCAAGTGGGAGACCCAGAAGAAGCTCCTGATTTCAGATTGGCTCAGCTCTGGCCATTTGGGGAGTGAATCAGCAGATGGAAGACTCTCTCTCTCTCTCTCTCTCTCTCTGCCTCTGCCTTTCTGTAACTTTGTCTTTCAAATAAATAATCTTTTTTAAAAATCCCTATATTGTTTAAATATTAAAACATCTATGTATTTGTAAAACACGTGTAAAACATTAATTAAGTTACGTAAGTTACCTGTTGGAATCTGGAGGTACTGGGGAATGTTCCCTTTCTAGTAGCAGTGAGAATGGGAGTGACAGATCAGGTGTCAAATGTAGGAGGAAAAAAGCTTTTAACCGTGGATTTTTACTTATTTATTTGAGAGGTAGAATTACGGGGGGGGGGGGGGGGGGGGAGAGGTCTTCCATCTGCTGGTTTACTCCCCAAATGGCCACAACGGCTGGAGCTGGGCCTATTCGAAGCCAGCAGCCAGGAGCTTCTTCCAGGTCTCCTACGCAGGTGCAGGGGCCCAAGCACCTGGGCCCTCTTCTACTGCTTTCCCAGGTCATAGCAGAGAGCTGGATCAGAGGAGGAGCAGCCAGGACTTGAACTGGAGCCCATATGGGATGCCAGCACTGGAGGCAGTGGCTTTACCCCCCACACTGGCTTTTACAAAGGAAGATGGGCTGGGAGTGAGGAGAGAGCATCCCAGGTTTGTGGGCAGATGGAAAGAGTGCGCTTCAGAGCAGGTGCTGATCTCTGGACCTGTGGAGGAGGCGCTGTAGTCCAGCCTGAATTCAGCAGTGCCAGGGAGCGACAGGCCCCAGCTCAGGGCTGCTGGGTTCCCAGAGTCCCCTTCGGACAAGAAGCTTGACCAGGTGGCCTTGTCCCTGGCTGCAGTACCTTTCCCTCTCAGTCGCTCGGCGGACACTAGGTCAGGTTCCTGGCGTGCCGAGGCCTCCCCGGGGTGAGCCTGCCTTCGTCTCTGGAGGCAGCTGTGGTGTCCACCGTAGCCCTCGCCTCACCGGCTGTGATTGCTTGTGTTTGTCCCACTAGACTGCGGGCTCCTCCACAGCAGGAAGCGGGGCTTATTTTGCTTTTTTCTAAAGAGTATTTTACTTGTTTGAAAGTCAGCGTGAGGCCGGCGCCGCGGCTCACTAGGCTAATCCTCCGCCTTGCGGCGCCGGCACACCGGGTTCTAGTCCCGGTCGGGGCGCCGGATTCTGTCCCGGTTGCCCCTCTTCCAGGCCAGCCCTCTGCTGTGGCCCGGGAGTGCAGTGGAGGATGGCCCAAGTGCTTGGGCCCTGCACCCCATGGGAGACCAGGAGAAGTACCTGACTCCTGCCTTCGGATCAGCACGGTGCGGCGGCCATTGGAGGGTGAACCAACGGCAAAAGAAAGACCTTTCTCTCTCTCTCTCTCACTGTCCACTCTGCCTGTCAAAAAAAAAAAAAAAGAAAGAAAGAAAGTAAGTCAGCGTGAGGGGGAGAGAGAGAGTGAGTTAGTTCTGTCTGCTGGGTCACTCCCCAAATGGCCACAACAGCCTAGGTTGGGACAGGCCAAAGCCAGAACCCAGGTACTCCATCTGGGCCTCCCATGTGGGTGACCATGACCTAAGTACTTGGGTCATCTTCTGCTGCTTTCCCAGACGCATTAGCCAGGAGCATCAGATGTGGAGCAGCCGGGACTTGAACTGACACTCAGATAGGGGATGCCAGCATGACAAGTCGTGGGTTGACACGCTGTACCACAGTGCTGCCCTTTACTTCTCGTTGTAACTGCCCTGGCCCAGCATAGCGTCTGATGCACAGTGAGTGCTCAGTACACCCAGGCCAGAGTGAAGAAGCAGGCAGGAAGTGCATGACCTCAGGGACTGGTCAGGCTGCATCTGAGGAGAGGAGACCCTGAACACCACGGCTGTGAAGCTGGAAGGGGGAGCCCAGTGGGCATGGGAACCCACTGCCCAGGCCTGCAGGGGCCGGATAGACACCTGGGGCCCAGTCAAAGATTGGGTTGACTTTCCTGTCCATAAACCAAACCACAGCCACTGTATCACCAGCGCTGTGTGTTTTCTCTACTCTGCAAGGATTCGGAGAACCAAGCACGTTGGTGTGATGGGAATGTCTTGGTTCTGGGAGCAGCAGGGTAGTGGAGGGAGCGGTTATGGAGCGCCCAGGGTCTGGGCTTCAGTTTCCAGGCCCCCCAGTGCAGCAGGGAAGGCCCTCCCTTCCGGAACAAACACCTGCGACTTGGGGCATACACATCCAGCAGTCTTCGTTGCCCTGGAGAGAGGGGGACAGCTGTGTGGGTGATGCTCCACTGTGCCGGGGACAGAAGGTGTGGGTGTGCAGCAAGTCCAGCAGTGGGACTTGGGTGGTGACTTGGGTGGTGAGAGGCACGCCTTGTCCTCGGTTTCCCTGTCTGATGGCAATTCATGCTCAAAGGGCGTGAGTGCAAGTGCAGAAGACCCGCAGAGGGATTGTAACTCCTCTTCCCTGAGGGGCCTGTGGAAGTGTATCTTTGTGTTTTTGTTGTTGTTGAAAATGTTTCTGTACCGTCTGTGATATTCAGCCAGCGTGTGCTAACTTTTTTTTTATCTGAAAAATAAAAAGATACAAACTTTTCAGTGACCCCAAAGAAGCCTCCAGGTTTGCATGAGAACGGGGAGGGGAGGGGAGCGTTTGCAGCAGGAGGCTGGGCTGGCAGAATGGGCCCGGGACTGTGGGGAGGCCTGGGCTCGGCGTGGCGGCAGGGCCAGAACTCCCCTTGCTGACCTCCCAGCCCGCCACCGCCCACCGCTGCCCAGCCTTCTGGGCACCACTCAGCACCTGAGGCCTCCGAATTCGCTGCCAGCCTGCAGGCCAGGGCTGGGGCACACCCAGTTCTCAGGGCCTGGGGTGTGTCTGGGTGTTGTGTTTCCAGGCAGCTGTGCCTGCCCTGCCCGTTTCCTGCAGAGTAGCTGCAGTGGCCACACTCTGTCTACAGTTTCGAAATGATGTGGGGGGTGGCGGGCGGATGGAGGATTGGGCAGCAGTTAACAGGCTGCCTGGGACACTGAACCCCCACAAGGAAGTGCCTGGGTCTCAGTTGCAGCTTCCCCGGGAGGCTGCTGGTGGTGGCTCAAGTAGCTGGGTCCCTGCCGCCACGTGGGAGACCAGCATTGAGTTCCCAGCTCCCAGCTGGGCATCTGGCAGTGACTCTGGATGGACGATCTCTGTCTCTGCCTTTCAGATAAACTTGACATGGCTGGTGTGCGCCCTGTTTCGCCATCTCGCAGTCCTGCCTCTCTGAGCTTGGTGACACGGCAGCCGAGCCTGTGTCTCCTCCGCAGCCAGACCCCAGCCCGTCCCAGGAGCACTGGGAACAGTTCTCCGCGGTGTGGGCAGGGCAGGGAGGGTGGGCGGTGCCGGAAGAGGAGCCCTTACCTCGGCATCGTTCTGGAAGGGTGCCTGGTGCTGCTTGGAGTCTGGGGAGGCAACAACAAAGCCACCAGGTGTTTTCCCGGCTCCATGTGGGGTTCCCGTCAGCCTGGTGCTGGTGCAGCCCCGCCCCCGTGTGGTCAGGACCGGGCTGAGGCCATTGCCTGCGGATTCCTTGTGATTGCTCCTTGTTTGGCAGCTGCCCAGGGCTCGTGCCTTCCTGTGGGTGGCGTGGCGAGCTGCGCAGGGGCTCCGTGGTGTTGCCCTGGGAGTGGGGCCGGCAGGTAGTGTGGGTGTGGTCTGAGGGGGCTCCGCCCCGTGCCTGTCTGCTTGGGGAGCTGGGGTGACCCCACAGCCTCTGGCCTGGAGTTGCCCCCGTGCCCTCTCCCTGCGGGTTTAGGCATGGTGCAGGTGTTAACTGTGCACGCCCTGTGTGGGGCACCCAGGCCGTCTGGAAGGTGTGCTTCCGCTTGGGTGACAACGGGATTCCGGTCTGGTTCTGATTGCGCCCTCCCTGGCCCAGCCGGCTGTCCCATCCCCAACTCGGTTGTTCCACGTGCTCCAACACAATATTTGTGGGATGCTCGCAGCTCCGGGGAAGAACAGGTGGGCAGTAGGTTCAGAACCACTCTGAAGGCCGCAGAGCGGAGCAGGTTGGAGGGTGGGGAATGGAGGGGGGTCTCCAGGCCAAGTTAGTGTGTCGGAGCATGCTCCTTAGTGGAGGGCCTGCCTGGGAAGAGGAGGGAAGGGAGCCGCTGGGACAGGGTCTAGTGCCTGCTCCGGGGCCTCCGTGGTGGGGCCCCAGCTCCCGCCAGCACTCCGTCTGCGGACGTTGGCTCCGGGCTCTGACACGTGGAAGGCCTGGACCCCCGGGGAGCAGCATTCTGTGCACGCTCCAGAGCCCAGAACTGCCCTTTCGTCAGGAGAACCTCGTGCTGGAAGAGATGTTAGAACTGCCCGGGAGGCTGCCTGTGCACTGAGCAGCCACTGGCGAGGCAGGTGGGCCGGTCCACAGCCTGCGCCTGGGACAAGGCTCCCCAGCCGCCCTGCCCAGATGGTTCCTGCCTGGGTGGGGCAGGGACTGGGTGGTGAGCAGGGGCTGTGCCCAGGGCGAGTCCCTCCCCTCCCCTCCCTTTGACGACAGGCACCTCAGACACACCAGTTCCCCTGTCCTTGCAGGAAAGTGGCACACGTCTGAGAAGAACATGCTGGTTGTGTCTGTGGTCTTGCCGGGGTGTGACCAGTTTCCTACCTTGGAGTCGGTGGAGAACTGTGAGTACCGCTGGGGGCCAGCGCTTGCGTGGAGCTGTTCCCGACCCTCACGCCCTGGCGGAGCGAGGATGGCAGCGCGTGCTGACCGGCCTGTCACGCCGGCCGTTCCGCGTCCCGCGGGCCCTGGGAACGTTGGCTGCTTCGCAGTCACACTTCACTGGTTTTCCTCGAGAGACCCTGCTGTGAGGGAGGAGGAGGTTGGGCTTTTACGCGGAGGCGCAGCCGCCCCTGAGTCCCAAGGCTGCCTCCTGCCTGCCCTGAGCAGCCGCGTTTGGGGCTTCTCGGCTTCCAGAATGAGCGGTCAGGCCTTGGCTTCGTCCTCACACTCCTAGAGCCGAGGGGTGGGGGTGCCTGGGGTGCTGTTGGGAGAGTTCTGTCCTTACCTGTCCGTGTCCCCATCGCCTTCAGCCCCAGGCTGCTGGGGTCTCGTGGGGAAGCCAGCCTCCTCCAGGGCCCCCAGAGCTGCCATGGTGACCACCCCCCACGCGGCCCCAGGCCTGTCCAGCCGACAGCTGTCCTGCTCTGATGTTTCGCTTTTGGTCTGTAACCTGCGGAGGAGAACCTTACCGCGTGGGCTGTTTCTGCCATTTCAGACACTCTGACCATAAACGATGACCAGTGTTTGCTCGTCTCTGAGAGCGTCTGGGGAGCACTCCGAGGTAACCGGTGGGGGGCAGTGGAGACCCACCTGGGGGGCAGCCTCATGAGACCAAGTGAACCCCGCCCCCGAGGACACCCCCCGGCTATCCTGGACTCAGCTGATGCTGGAGCAAGCCAGCAGGGAGAGGCAGTGGAGGAGGGGCCAGTTCAGCTGTCACAAGACGACACACATAATTGGAAAGGGTCTTTTTTTAAGATTTTTAAAATTTATTTTAGACATAGAGTTATAGACAGTGAAAGGGAGAGACAGAGAGAAAGGTCTTCCATCCTCTGGTTCACTCCCCAATTGGCTGTGACGGCCAGAGCTGAGCCAATCCGAAGCCAGGAGCTTCTTCTGGTCTCCCACGTAGGTACAGGGGCCCAAGCACTTGGGTCATCTTCCACTGCTTTCCCAGGCCATAGCAGAGAGCTGGATCAGAAACAGCAGCCAGATCTCAAACTGGCACCCATAGAGGATGCTGGCACTGCGGCGGCGGCTTCATTCGCTGCGCCACAGCACCGGCCCTGGTACAGGTCTTAAAAGAACGGGAGCCTCTGCTGCCCAGGCATCCCTCTGCTGGGAGGCGACTTCTGCTCCCCCTGCCTGTCTCCCCACTGCGCGCCCCTGTGCTGTGCAGCGGCAACAAACCCGCCTGTGCCTCTGATGGTGGCAGACGACAGGCTGTCAGAGTCCGCGTGAGGGAGGCACGCGGGTGTGCCACAGGCGCTGGCTTCTTCAGGGTTTCTGCAAGCAGAGCTCAGCTGCTGGGAACACACCGTGCTCTGGACTCGGCCCGCCTGTGCGTGGGTGCCCTGCAGGGTCCCTCTGGCCACTGCTGCCACACCCCTGCTTCAGCTCACTGGAGCCAGTCCCTTCTCCAGCTCGGAGAGGAAGGTGGCAACTCCTTATCATTGTGAATCCAGGCTCCTTGGAAATTCACGCTTCCACTGGCTTCTGGAGGTCGTGTCTGGGAGAGGTGGAGGGTCCGGGAGCTGGGGACTGCCTAGTATGGCTCTGTCGCTCCTGATGAGTTCTGTCTGTGGAGCCACAGCCCTGTTGGCTGCCTTGTCCCTGCACCTGTCTTCCTAACACACCTGGGCGTTCCTAGGCTTCTCAGGAGTTCAGGACTTGGGAAGCACAGACAGGTATGTGGGCCTTGACTGCTGGCAGCAGGCCCTAAAACACTGCCGCCTGCCAGAGTGGCTGCCAGCTTCCCGTGCTCGCTGCTGTGTTGTGGCTCAGCCTGCCCCGCCCCTGCTCGCTGAGGCACCGCTTCTCTGCAGGTCTGGAGACCTTCAGCCAGCTTGTCTGGAGATCAGCCGAGGGCACGGTGAGTGAGGGCTCTCCAAGAAGCACTTTGTAACCTGGGTCTTTCTCCTAGACCCTTGGACAGGGTCCCGGGGCTTGTGACAGCCCCCAGCTGGCATGCGAGGAGAGGGGTGGAAGACGGTTTGGGACATGCGCTCTGTGTGGAGCCGCCGCTGCTTTGAAGAGACAAACGTGTTGTCCGTCAGGTGCAGAGGTGGTAGGCTGAGCAGGGCGTGGGGACCGCTGCTGGCACGTGACTGCTTGTGGCTGTCGAATGCGGTGTTCAGGGAGCTTGGCACCCTGGGGGATGTCACGGGCGGTCCTCCAAGGATCGTGGATGAGCGTCCCTCAGCTGCGTGGGTCCCAGCGTGGCCTGTGATTATTCCACACAGTTCTACATCAACAAGACAGAGATCGATGACTTCCCCCGCTTCCCGCACCGGGGCTTGCTTCTGGACACATCTCGCCATTACCTGCCGCTCTCCAGCATCCTGGACACTCTGGTACCTGGGCCCTGGGGCCTGCAGGTGTTCTGGGTGGTAGAAGAAGGGGTCCCTGCCCTAAAGACTTAGAATAACATATGGAGCTCGGGGAGTTCCTGGGAGGATGTAGGTGACCTGCTGTAAGACTCAGAAAGTAACGAGGGATTTAAATCTACCCCCGTGGCTACAGTGGACCGAGACAGTCTGGTCTCTTGGGCAGGTGCAGAGGTTTGGTTAGGACAAGGTCGGAGGAGAGAGGTGTTCAGAGCCTCTGCCGAGTTGGATGTGCAGCTGGGGCTGAGTGTGCATTTGCACTGCCTTGGCTTCTGAGGTTTCTGCCTCTCGAGGGCCTAAGCTCCCAGCTGGCCTCACTGTCTATACCAGCAGTCAGCTGAGCCGCACAGGTGGCCAGGGCTGGGGCAGTGTTGGTCCCAGGTTACCTGGGTGTATGGGAGACTCCAGGACACGGTGATGGCCGCCGCTTCCTACCAGTGAGGCCCGGCTTTCCGAGGCCAACCCCGAAGAGGCCGCCGGCTTCCTAGTGTACTCTGACCCACAGGATGTCATGGCATACAACAAATTCAACGTCTTCCACTGGCACCTGGTCGATGACCCTTCCTTCCCGTACGAGAGCGCCACCTTCCCCGAGCTCACCAGAAAGGTTGGTGTGCATTCTGCCCACGTGGGGGGCCCCGGCTGGCAAGGGCGGTGGCTGTCACCGTGGCCAGCCTGTCTGAGGCAGGCCCACTGACTGAGGGGAGGGACACTGGCTTGGAAACAAGACACGAGGCCTCCGGTCCAGACTTTGCCGTTGCTTTGCTGGGTGACCGGTATCCTGGCCTCACTTCCTCTGTGCTTAGGTTCTGTCACATGGGCAAAGTGCCTGCCTCACTGGCAGTCCCATGCTTTGGCAGGTGGGTGGTCGTGGTCAAGTTCCATGGCCTGAGCCCTGGGGACAGGAGGGCCTGAGGGTGTCTCGTGCCTTGCAGGGCTCCTACAACCCTGTCACTCACATCTACACAGCGCAAGACGTGAAGGAAGTCATCGAGTACGCGCGGCTCCGGGGAATCCGTGTGCTGGCAGAGTTTGACACTCCCGGCCACACTCTGTCCTGGGGACCAGGTGAGGCAGTGCCAGTGGCCGGCAGGGGCCCCTCACCGAAGCGTGGGCTTTGGGCCGTGGCTCTGAAGAGTTTGCTCCGCCCTCGCCTTCCTGCACCTACCAAGTGTGGAGCGGCCATGCTCTACCCTGAGCTGAGCGTGCGCTCTACGTGGGTGTCCTGGAGTGCAGCTCAGGGATCTGAGAGTCCAGTCAGACCCCCACCCCGCACCCCACTAAGCCCCACGGCTGGGTCCGGGGCTGAGAGAGGCAGCCAGCCTCGTGGAAACATGAAGTGGTTTTGTGTGGCCTGAGCTCCAAGAGGGAGACTCTGGGCCGAGGGAAAGGCCCCTTGGGAAATGTGGGAACCCACCCACCCTCCCACCCCCTGCAACCAAGAGGAGAGAGATCAGGCTGCCCTCTGCTTTTCTGCCTGAAGGCAGTGTGAGATCTGCTTTTGGAGCAAGGGCGACCCCTGCAGGAAGCACGGGGTATGCACCGAGCCTTGTCTGTGGTGGTGGGTGTGGTTACGTTTCTTGGATTGCGGCCAGATGGTGGTGATGACCAGTGCCCATGACCCCGTGTACGTGTGATATTGGTGCCAAGATCATGTCACCATGAGGCTCATGCCTGCACACGCAGACCCATGACACTGTCCCATGTGGTTCCCTGTTGGCCCAGGCATCCCTGGATTGCTGACTCCTTGCTACTCTGGGGCCCAGCCCTCAGGCTCTTTCGGGCCTGTGAACCCCATCCTCAACAACACCTACGAGTTCATGAGCATGTTCTTCCTGGAGGTCAGCTCTGTTTTCCCGGATTTCTATCTTCACCTTGGCGGAGACGAAGTTGACTTCTCCTGCTGGTACGAGCCCTTTGACCTGGCCAGCACCGGGGTCGGGGGGCGGAGCAGGACCCCGGGGGCTACCGTGGGCTCGCGTCTCAGCCTGCCTCCGTCCCCTCTGACAGGCTCCCCCTGGTTTTTACTGGGCTGGTATGGCAGCCTCTCGCTCCCTCCTCTTTGGAATCCTTGGGATGTTTATGGAAAAGTCAGCTCTGGGCATCAGCTGTAGAGGAGAGTAGTTCCCGGGGTGGGGCTTGAGGGTGAAGCACTGGAGACGCCTGTGCCAAGGTGCCCTCGGGGTTCACTGGAAAGCCCAGGCCCGGATCTCACGGCCATGGAAGGGGCAAGGGGCTCCCGCAGGGTCGACGAAGGGAGCCGTGGAAGTGACTCTGTGGGGTGGGGTCCGCAGCAGTGGTGGACGGCCCAGGGAGGCCGGGGCTCTGCATGCTGTGGTCCAGAGAGGATCACCACACACTTTCCTGTCCTGCACCGGGGCCCCATCACGTGGTGTCTCCCCGCTGCCATGCACTTTCCCAGCCTGCCCTGCAGCCCCTCACCTGGCATCTGCCAGCCACACCTGCCCTGCCCCACCTTCCTGTTGGCGTTTGAGGTGGGAGGGGGGGCAGGCGGCTAACATGCAGGACCCCGGAAGAGTGACTGCCCCCTGTGCCTCAGGAAGTCCAACCCGGACATCCAGGACTTCATGAAAAAGAAGGGCTTCGGCAGCGACTTCAAGCAGCTTGAGTCCTTCTACATCCAGACGTGAGGAGGGGCCGGGCTGGGCGGGGTCCCCACCGCTCTCGGGCGGGTGCCGAGGGGTCCATTCCCAACCCTGGAGGAGACACCATTCAAGCAGCAAGGGTCCCCCGGGCAGGCTTGGCCGCAAAGGAGCGGCGCCGTGGACCGAGTGAGCGCCCACCCGAGCTGAGCGCCCCTCACCCGCAGGCTGCTGGACATCGTCTCCGATTACGGCCGAGGCTACGTGGTGTGGCAGGAAGTGTTTGACAACAAAGTGAAGGTGAGCGCGGGCCTCGGCAGAGCACTGGGCCATCTCCCTTCCCCTCCAGAAAGGCCGGACTGAGCTCTGGGTTTGGGGGCCACAGCCTCTGTCTCCCTCGCTGGGAACCCTCCAGTGTTCTGAGGCTTCTCAGACTTGGCTTGCAGCCCGGTTCTCCAGGTGTGTGGGAGCAGGCCCCTCGTCCCAGCCCGGCCGGTGTGCCTCTGTGGACAGGCAGTGCCGCGGAGCCGGGGCACTGGGATGGCGGGGAGCACCCTCAGGGCCTGTGGCCCCTGCAGTGCCGTGGGAGCTCGCTGTCAGGGCCCACTGGGGCCTGGGAGACAGCCCTTGGCTGCTGCGTGGGAACTGGGCCCCCAGTGCTCTCGTGACGTGCTCTGGCGGCAGGTTCGGCCAGACACCATCATCCAGGTGTGGCGGGAAGAGACTCCCGTGCCCTACATGAAAGAGCTGGAGCTGATCACCAACGCCAGCTTCCGGGCCCTGCTCTCCGCCCCCTGGTACCTGAACCGCATCTCCTACGGCCCTGACTGGAAGAACTTCTACACAGTGGAGCCCCTGGCATTTCAGGGTGAAGCGGGGAGCCCCGGCTGGGCTGGCACTTGGTGGGGGTTGGGACCTCGTTGGGAGGAGTGTGGAGGGGGAGCCCTGGGGTCACCCCGCCAGCCTCTGGTACCTGGGCCCACAGGTACGCCGGAGCAGAAGGCCCTGGTGATCGGTGGAGAGGCCTGCATGTGGGGAGAGTACGTGGACAGCACAAACCTGGTCCCCAGGCTCTGGTAAGAGGCACTGCAGGGAATGCCCGCTGGCCACACGACAGCCTCTGTCCCTCCGCAGCCCAGAGGTGTTGAGGGCAGGGATTGCTAGGCCAGTCCACGGCTCCCACGCGGTGGCGCCCCTGCTGTTCCCGCGGGAGTCTCACCCAGCCTGGGCTACACAGCTGCGTTTTCAGTACCACTTAATCAGCATAGTTTACCCCCCTCCCCTTTTAAGAAAGATTCATTTATGTATTTGAAAGGCAGAGTTACAGAGAGGCAGAGGAAGGGGGTCTTCGTCGGCTCTTTCACTCCCCGAATGGCCGCAGCAGCTGGAGCTGTGCTGATCTAAAGCCAGGAGCCAGGAGCTTCTTCTGTGTCTGCCACGTGGACGCAGGGGTCCAAGGACTTGGGCCGTCCTCCATTGCCTTCCCAGGCCACAGCAGAGAGCTGCATCAGAAGTAGAGCAGCCAGGACTCAAACGCACCCACGTGGGCTGCGGGCACTGCAGGAGACAGCCCCAACCACTATACCACAGCGCCAGCCCCCGCAGTTGATCTTGTTTCCATGGGATAGAGAGAGAGGGAAGGAAGGGGTCCCGGTCCACCTTTGAACGAAGATGGAGCCAAGCCCCAGACTCCTGGGAGCCACCCAGCCACGCTGTGGCCCTGAGCAAGGTGTCGGTCACATCCCTTGGCTCTGAGTCCATCCAGAGCCTAAAGAGGCAGTGACCTGTGTGTGTCCAGCGGGTGCCCTTCCTGTCCCTCCAGGCCCAGAGCGGGTGCTGTAGCCGAGAGGCTGTGGAGCAGTGAGCTGATGACAGACACGGAATTTGCCTTCCAGCGGTTGTCACACTTCCGCTGTGAGTTGCTGAGGTGAGCAGGCCGTGGGGCCCGGGTGGAGGGCAGACCCAGGTGTGCACCTAATGGCGAGGCGGGGCGTCGCCGTGTCGCCGTGACAGCTAGCTCTCCAAGAGGCCAGCTTCGGGGCGCAGGCTGCCGGGCCCATCTCTTAGGCGCGGTTCATTCACACTTTAGGAACAGGTGGCTGAGGTCCACAGAGTTGAGGCCCTCAGCCAGAGCCAATCAGAAGCAGGGGTTGAACCCTGTCAACTCTCCCCTCGGGCATCCCCACCGAGGCGTTTGGGGCTGGGGCACAGGCACACCGGGTAGAAGCAGGGAGGTGTTCCCCCAAGTTCCTGGGTCTCCCTGGAGCAAAATCAAGTGGAGCCTGCTGCCTGGCCCTGCCCCAAGTGAGGCTCGGGAGGTGGGCTCCCTGGATAGTTGGTGCAATGACTCGACAGCTGGGCAGGGTGCAACTGGAGCCTCCAGGGCTCATCCGTGGTTCCTTCACCTCTTGCAGACGAGGGGTCCAGGCCCAGCCCCTCAACGTAGGCTACTGTGAACAAGAGTTTGAGCCGACCTGAGCCAGCAGCCCCAGCACCGTGGAGGGTGCTGGCCTTAGGAGCTTCCGCTGCATCCCAGCTGGGCACGGAGCCCCCTGCCCACGAGCCCCAGTGCCCGGAGAGAAGGGGGCCAGTGCTGGCGCTAGCATTCAATAAAGAGGGATGTGGCATTTTCCTGTCATGCACCTGTGTTACCGATGTTTTCAAACCTGTGACTTGCGTTCCAGGGGACAGCTAGGAGCTCTGTGGGTGGGGGCAGGCGTATCTCAGGGCTTGAGGGTTGGGGATGAAGCCTGCAGCTTAGGCTGGGGGTGACTCTGCCCAGAGGAGTGCACTCCATGCCCGGCCCATCCAGGAAGGGGACGCCCGGGAGCCTGAGGGGTCAGAGGCAGCAGCAAGGCCCGCAGGGGCTGCCCTGGTCTCACACCAGCACCGTCCTCGTGGTCTTGGCCGCGTCCCTCGGGGGCCCTGCTCGTCCTGTCCTGCCCTGTCCACACACCATTTTCAAGGGTGGGCAGAGCCCCTGGGGACAAGACAAGGCTGCCGCTGTGGCTCCAGGAAAGGGTCTTAGTGCCCGGGCCAAGTTTTGTTGAGGACGACGCGCCTCGCCCCAGGTCCTGTGCAGGAGGGACTGCGCGGCTGCCCTGTGGGTTTCTTGGGTTGGGTATTGAAGCCCCCTGGTCTGGCCCTAGCTAAGCCCTGGTCTGGCCCAAGCCCCCTGCAGAAGCTTGGGGGAGCTGGAGCCAAGAAGGATCTGGGCAAAGCGTGGTCCCCAGACATAGCCCTTCAGCCTGCGGTCTGCTGCCCTGGGCTCTACTGAGCCCAGCATCCAGCCGCCTTGCACTGTCGCTATAGGGGCAGGGTGGGCGCCTCTGCCAGCACAGTTCTCTTGGGGTTTCTGCCCAGGCCAGCCCAGGGCTCTGACCTCTGAGCTGTGCCCACCAGGGAGGCTGCCCTGTACCTCTAAGCCTAAGGGGCGGAGGCAGGTGAGTCCCTGTGGGTCTGCTAGCGTCAGCTGACCCTGCCCTTCCTGGTCATGATGTGGACCTTGTTTGGTTAAGCTAAAAGCAGACGCTAAGTTGAAGAAACCAGAAAGCACTTGGCACTGCAGTAGTTAGTATTGTGATTGCTTGTTCCTGTGGCTTTTTTTTCTTTTTTCTAAAAAAAAAAAAAAAAAAAGACTATTTGAAAGGCAGAGTTACAGAGGGAGAGGCAGGTCTTCCATCCCCTGGTTCACTCCCCAGATGGCCACAACAGCCAGGGCTGGGCCAGGCTGAAGCCAGGAGCTGGGTGAGTCTGCTGGGTCTCCCACACAGGTGCAGGGACTCAAGCAGTTAGGTCATCCTCTGCTGCTTTATCAGGCTCAGGCACATTAGCAGGGAGCTGGATCAGAAGTGGAGCAGCCGGAACTTGAACCAGTGCCCACATGGGATGCCAGCATTGCAGGAAGTGCCCTAACCTGCTACACCCGAATGCCTGTCTGTAATTTTTTATTTTCAGACGTTAAACATTCAAAACCTTCTGTGTCAGGGTGTGCTGTTCCCCAGCCACGCCAGTACTGTGAGGGTGTCTACGTACACATCAGCTTCAGATCTGGATTGCTGGTGGCCATCGCTCACCTGCCCTCTGTGAATGCTCAGACCCGGCCTGTGTTCTTTGCACCACCAGGGGGCAGGCAAGTCCCTCTGCAGTGCTGCGCTTAGCTGGGACAGAAGTAACCGGGCAGATGGAGACTGGCAGACCATTCCTGCCAGGGCCCTCTGCTGTCCCCGGGGCACTGTGCGTCCTGAGGGGCTGGGGTGCTCCCGCAGTGCAGCTCATGGAGCTGTGACTGCAGGAGTACTTGGGTCCCCGCCACCTGGCCTGGCCCAGCTGCAGCTGTTGTGGGCATTTGGGGAGTGAACCAGCAGCTGGAAGGTTCTCCCCTCCCTTCTTCCCTCCCTCCCTCTGTCTTTCAAATAACTTTAAAATATGTACATATTATTTACTTGTTGAACGTTTTTGTCTTTGTTCTCTCTGTAAACCTCCAGTCTCACTGGTGGTGTAGAAAAATCCATTTGAAACAGTCCCTGTGTGTTTCTCCAGTCAGGTGTTTGAGATGTCGTGAACTTGGCTTGTGGTTTTCTCCCCCCATGGTGATTACCGCTTTCTGATTGCATCATGCTGTGTCCTCCCCACCACAGTAAATACTAAAGTGATCTTAAATGTTGTGAACCAACAGATGCGTGTAGAGCGAGATGGGGGGCAGTGTCACCTGTCTATCTCCTCACTTGCTTCTGTGTTGTCTTGAAGAGCTGAAGCCTTGTGCATGCCCCCACCCAGTCCTGAGCCCTTCCTCCCCCCACAGTGACCCCTCGCCAGAACTCATTCCCAGTCTCGTTTCTCCTGGAGTCTGGCACTGAACTTCCTCACTGTTAGTTCTTGGTGGCTCACCGTTTAGCAGAGGCGGGGTGGGGGGGTGGGGGGGCATCGGGATCAAGCATCTTCATGAGAAGGGTGGAGGAGTTCTTGGTGGCTCACCCTTTAGCAGAGGCGTGGGGGAGGGGGTGGGGGAGGGGTGGGGGGCATCGGGATCAAGCATCTTCATAAGAAGGGTGGCCTGGAGGGATGGCTTATCTAGACTCCGGGCCAGAAATCGGATTGGAGACCCAGGGAACAAATAAGTCTGTGATAACACCTGTCAGTGTTACCCTCACCTGGTAGACAAGGAAGCAGGTGTGGAAGATTTAAGTCGGGGCTGGTGTTGTGACACAGCAGGTTAAGTCACTACTTGGGGCATCCACATCCCATATCAGAGAGCTGGTTTCAGTCCCAGATACTCCCCAGCTTCCTGTTAGTGCTCCTGGGAGACAGCAGGTGGTAATCCAAGTGTAGCTCAAAAGATTGAGAGCAGGGCCAGTGCCGTGGCTCTCTTGGTTGATCCTCCGCCTGTGGCGCCGGCATCCCATATGGGCGCCAGGTTCTAGTCCTGGTTGTACCTCTTCTGGTCCAGCTCTCTGCTGTGGCCTGGGAGTGCAGTAGAGGATGGCCCAGGTCCTTGGGCCCCTGCACCCGCATGGGAGACCAGGAGGAAGCACCTAGCTCCTGGCTTCGGATTGGTGCAGCGCCAGCTGTGGCAGCCATTTGGGGGTGTGAACCAATGGAAGGAAGACCTTTCTCTCTGTCTCTCTCTCACTCTGTCAAATAAATAGAAAAAAATTGAGATCTCAAAAAGGAATTAGAATAAAAGAAAAGTTATTTTAGAAATGGCATTTAAAGAGGAAATAATGGATGATACTTTAAAACAAGACAAGGTGGGGGGGATAGTTTTAAAGGACTTCTGAAGAAAGATACAAAGGAGATTTGGAGACAGTCATGGGGGAGACAGATGAAAAAGGTAACCTGTGTGTGCAGAACAAGACCGCAGCAGCGGTCAGGGCACGACTGGACCTGCACTACAGCCCTGTTCTAAAAGGAAAGCGTTTGCAGCTCCTGGGGGAAGAGACCCGTGCATGCCTGGGAGGACTCCCACCTGCTGCCTGGGCTGAGCGCCGCACAGAGGAGCCGCAGGTGTTCACCAGAGCAGGCTCGAGACCAGGAGCTCAAAAGCCCACTGGCAGCAGACTCAAATTTTCATCCATTCGGTCATTTTCAATGTAGCCCAAATAGATTATGAGCATCTACAACCTGCTTATTTGGCACCTTGAGACTGAACCACGGATAAGGTGAACCACACCAGAGGAGACACACCAGAAGCCACTGTTGCCTTTTTTCTGGCCCAGAAATCCCCATACTAGCCACCCATCCACTCCCTTGGGCCCTGCTGGGAAGGCTCCTGCTTTGAGGAACTCTGCCCTGCCTTCAGGCAAAACCTGTCCAGGGGCTACCAAAAATCTTATGTATTCTTGCACCTCCTGGTTATCAGCCCTGAAATGTGTCACCCTGGCTGCAGGCCAGCACCCCAGTCACTCTGCTGGCTGGCTGCTACGCAAGCATCGCAGCCCCGCTGTGACTGGCAGTGTCCCCAGCTGTGTCCCCAGCTCCCCACCTGCTCCCAGCCTCCCTCCTTGGACACAAGCTGCCCTCTCATCGTGAGGAACTGCCCCAGGCGAAGGCCGAGTGTTCCCCAGTATCTGCACCTGTTACTTCCTGGTTCAGGGCAACGGTGACAGCGGCAGGCCTAGTGCTTAAGACACCACCTGAGATGTGCATCCTGTAGCTGAGTGCCTGTGTTTAACTCCGCTCTGCTCCCAATTCTAGCAACGGTGGGAGACAGCAAAGGTGACTTAAGTCGTTGGGTCCCTGCCACCCGTGTAGGAGACCTGGATTGAGCTTCCAGTTCCTGGCTTCAGCCTGGACTAGTCTTGACCATTGTGGGCATTTGGGGAGTGAACCAGTGGTTGAGAGTTCTCTCTCGATCTCACTTTCTCAGTTGAAAAAAAAAGGGGGGAACTGGCTCTGTGGCACGGTAGGTCAAGCATCTGCCTGCAGTGCCGGCATCCCATATGGGCGCCAGTTAGGGTCCCAGCTGCTCCACTTCCGATCCAACTCTCTGCTATGGCCTGGGAAAGCAGACCTGGGCCCCTGCATCCACGTGGGAGACCTGGAAGAAGCTCCTGGCTCCTGGCCCCTGGCTTCAGATCTGCCCAACCCTGGCTGTTGCGGCCATTTGGGGAATAAACCAGAAGATGGAACGATCTCTCTCCCTCTCCCTCTCCCTCTCCCTCTCCCCTCCTCTCTCCCTCTCTTCCCTTCTCCCCCTCTCTCACTCTCTCCTTCTCCGTAACTTTGCCTTTAAAATAAATATTTTTTTAAAAAGTGAAGTTCACAGAATGGAATTAAAAGATCTTTATTTAAGAAAAAAAGTCTCTTGCTCAGTGCAGCCCATTGCTTCTGGTTCCACTGTGCATCCCTGTCCTTGTTTCGGGGTAGCTCTCACTGTCACTGTTCAGTTCCCAGGGAACAGTCACACTGATCTATGAACAGTGAGCTCTCCTCTTTCCAGTCAATCTTGGCGGTCCACTCCCTTTCCATGTCTGTCATGAGTGATAAAATGTTGATCACAGACTCGCCTGCCAAGTCCAAAGTGAAAGAGTACAGATGACAATGCGAATTATAATCAAATATGATCAGCCCGAGACAAGATTAAAAGTTAGTACCTTTTCTAAGAGGTAAGAGGTGGGAGAGGATTGAAGACCAAAG